AATATACTCGGTCTGTTAGTGAAAGACTGAAGCCACACCGGCGCCAGAGATGTCGGAAGTTGGCTACTCTAGCTTCGAAGTTGACAACTACTTTCAAAGAAGAAGTTGCTGTCTTGTTCTAATGATACTGAACTTCAGTGGAATAGGATCTCGGCCACTATGCACGACGCAGGAGCATCTGTTTGTGGCACTATCAGTCGTCACCGCACCAGTCACTGGATATCCGAGAGGTCCGTGAACCTGTTGGAAGCTAGAAGACACTTCCCGGCTGGTTCTGAACACAATGTGACCAGACGGGCTATTAGGCGTGAACTAAAGCGGAGCCTACGTGCTGACAAGGAAGCCTGGTGGACCAGTCGGGCTCAAGAAATGGAGGAGGCAGGAGCAGTAAGCAATTGCAGAAAGCTCTTCCAGCTAACCCGCACCACTGGTCCGAGGAAACCAGGCGTCAGTGAGACAATCAGGGACAGCGCGGGTGCGCTGATACACAATAAGGAGCGCCGTATGGCTCGTTGGGCTGAGCACTTTGAACATCAGTTCAGCTGGCCCCCTGCTCCCGGACCTCTTCCTACTCAGGTGATGCAGGACGAGCCATGGACGGTTAGTTTAGAGCCTCCGTCGGAGGCCGAGGTCCGAAACGCGATCACAGCCCTCAATCGTTTTCGTGCCGCTGGCCCGGATTCCCTACCACCTGCACTATTTAAGGATGGAGGTGAGGTCCTCTGCAAGGCACTGACCTCCCTATTCGAACGTATCTGGAACGAAGAGAGTGTGCCGGCTAATTGGTGCGAATCGATTATAGTGGCAATATACAAAAAGGGCAGCCGCACAGACTGTGCGAACCACAGGGGTATTAGCCTAACGCCAGTTGTGACAAAATTATTGGCCTCGATTCTCGTTCGTCGCCTCACTGCAGAACGGGAATCTCGGATTAGAGAAGAGCAGGCCGGTTTTCGCCCAGGACGTGGCTGTATAGACCATATATTTACTTTGCGGCAAGTGCTAGAGCAGCGCCACGCATACCGCAGACCGACAATAGCTGTGTTCCTCGACTTCAAGAGTGCGTTCGATTCAGTCGATCGATCGATACTGTTCGAAATACTTGCGCGGAAAGGTGTTCCCACGAAATATGTGAACATCCTTCGTGCTCTATACTCGAACACTACAGGCCGCGTCAGGGTCTATGGTGTCCTATCGGATAGCTTTTCGACTACAAGTGGCGTTCGACAGGGTTGTCCGATTTCCCCGTTTTTGTTCAATTTCGTCGTGCATTCTATCATGGAGTGTTCCCTTGCGGAATCTCAAGATGTAGGTGTTGAAGTGCTGCCTGGTGAAAGGTTAGTTGATCTAGATTATGCGGACGATATCGTCTTGCTTTTCGACAATGTTGAGGCGGCACAATCAACCCTGAATAGCCTGTCCAGAGTGGTCCCATTATTTGGCATGCACTTCGCACCTTCAAAGTGCAAAGTGTTGCTGCAGGACCACCAGCCACTCGATGACCCCTTGACGCTTGCTAACGAGGAACTCGAGGTGGTTGATCAATTCACTTATCTTGGCAGCTGCATCAGCAATGATGGGCGCATAGAAACTGACGTGAGCTCACGCATTGCGAAGGCCAGAGCTGCCTTCTTGAACCTGCGTCATCTTTGGCGACAGAAGGGAGTTTCCCTTCGTCTGAAAGGCCGTGTATACAAGGCCACAGTGAGGGCCGTTCTGCTCTATGGCAGTGAAACTTGGCCCCTTCGGTCTGAAGATCTGAAGCGCCTTCAAGTCTTTGATCATCGTTGTTTGCGAAGCATTGCTGGTGTCGGATGGCACCAGTGTGTCCGCAACGATGATGTGCGTAGGCGAGTACTAGGTGGTGATGATCATGCTAGCTCCTTAGAACAACAGATAGCACTGAATAAGTTGCGTTGGCTCGGGCACGTGCTACGCATGCCTGGTCACCGCTTACCTAGGAGGGCCTTGTTCAGTCTACCAGGTGTCGGATGGCGCAAGGCTCGAGGTGGACAGAAGTTGACTTGGCAGCGTGAAATGAAGTCACTGACGACCAAACTGGGTGCCGTTGGTCCGTCTCGCCTTCCGGGTTGGAGTCCCCGTGACTCACCTTGTGCTTGGCTCGAGACTTTACAGGACATGGCTCGCAACCGACACCAGTGGCGCGTCTGCTGCCGTCTCCTAATCGGATTGTCTGTTTAAAGTGTGTTTGGTGCTGAGTTATCTGCGGGGTAATGGCTGATTATGACGCGTGGCAGTGAAAGCCGCAAGGAAGCTGTCTCGCCGATGCCGCCTTATCTTTGCACGATAGCCAGCTGTTTGTGACGGAATGTTGTCTACACAAGGTGTAGGCGCCTTGACCCTGAATGTCTGCTTAGGGCATTAAGGTTTTCAGGTAAGTCCCCCCTTCTCTCCCTCTTCTTATTCTTTATTTCATAGGTCCTCATGGTTGTATGGCAGTGAAGCATCAGTTCAAATGGCTGATGTACTGCTGTTGATGATGATGATGAGGATGATCAAAGAAGAGCCGTGGAGGATGAAAATGTGAGTAGATTCTAACCATCCCTGGATGAAAACTTTGCACTTCGTAGGGATAAAGGTCATGCCGAACTGTGAGATACATCTCCAACCTGTGCACAGCGTTCTGTGCGGTCTGCGAGAAGTCTAAGATTACGGTGATGTTGTCAGTATACGAGGAGGTCGATCACCCGGAAGTACCTCGACGCCACTAGGCCCAAAGTTATCCAGAGCAGGCTAAGATGTCATCCACAGCGATGTTGGGAAAGAAAGATGATGCGAAGTAACTCGGTCTCACATCACTGTTGAGGTCGAAGGATTGTTATTGATCACTAGACATCCCCACCCGGCCCAGGGTCGAGTAGTAGATTGTCTGGATGATGTTGACAAATTTCTGAGACACTTTACTCCTCAGTCAACAGCTCCAGAGCCGAATGAGTCCAGGAAGCATACGATGGTGGGCCGATTGAAAGTAGGACGATTCTTGAGAATCTGCAAATCGTAAAGATGTGATCAATATAGCCCGAATTGGGCGAAACCCAGCTTCCTACTCATATATGCGCTGTTCGTGGAAGCTGCTGCGCCTCCGTAAGACCAGTGAAGAATGCTTTTTAGATGCAACACACCAGTCTGGTCCCTGGATAATTGGCGTATTTTGTTGTGTCACCAGTTTTGAAGACAGGCACGATAGACGGTAAGCCCCACTGAGAACGGGTGGCTTCTGTGGTCCAAATCTCACAAAGGAAGAAAGTTAATTTACGGAAAAGACGGCCCTTTATGTTGGAAAAGAACAAAAGAAAATGTGTCTGGGCAAGGAGAGGTAGGACGTCTCAGAAGACCAAGTTAGTAGGAAACTTTGACTCTGGGTGGCGCAGAAGTGCTTGCATATCGGGGAGCACCGTAGAAACTCGAGGGTAGTGGAAACTAGTTGAACGCAGACAACACCAAAAATATGAGGGATGTATGGTAATCAGGGCGGCAAGTAGGGGACGGAAAAAGCAAATAAAAAACCCAACAATTATGGTGAAAACATTGATTAACTGATTCGATCAAGAGCACCCAGTGGTAATTGCTGGAATTATCCGGGAATTGAGAAGTGTGGTCCCATCATTTGGCATTACCTTCGAACCTTCAAAGTGCAAACCGTCGCCCCAGAACCGCCCGTCAGCTGATGATTCCCTTGACCCTAAATAGCGAGGAACTCGAAGTAGTCGAGCGATTCCCTTACTTTGACAGCTGCATCAGCAAAGATTGGTGCATAGCAACTGAGGTTAGTTCACGTACTACAAGAGCAAGAGTCACCATTTTGAATCCGCGACAGAACAGTTGCCCTCTGTTTGAAAGTCCATGATTAAAGGGCCACAATGAGGGTCAACCTACTCTATGGTAGTGAGACTTGGCTACTTCAGTCTCCAGATCAGAGGCGGCATCAAGCCTTTGATGGGCGCTGTCTTCGGAGTATTACTGCTGTCGAATGGTAACAGCTTGTCCGCAACGATGATGGGCGTAGGCGAATACTAGGCAATGATACACAAAATAGAACAACAGATGTCAATGAATAAGTTGCGTTGGCTTGGGCACGTATGCTCAGTCACCGCTTAACTAGAAGGGCCATGTTTTGTCTGTCAGATGTAGGGTGGTGCAAGGCTCAAGATGGACAAAAGTTGACTTAACAGCAGGAAATGAAGTCGCTGACGATCAAACTCGGCGCCATCAGTCCGTATCGTCGTCTAGGCTGGAGTCCACGTAACCTGCCATGTGCTTGGCTCGAAGCTTTATATATATATATATATATATATATATATATATATATATATATATATATATATATATATATATATATATATATATATATATACGGATGTGACTGCGTCTATCGATAAACAGTGCCAGAGAAAGCTCATTGAATACAGAAATAGCAACAGTTCTAATACGATAGACCGCTCAATGAGAGACTCGTTTCCGCTACAGACTACAAGTGAAACACATCAGGTCTGCCTCATCTCTTCGCTCCTCCACAACTTGGTGAATAACTTGTTGGCTGATGGATTGCGATTCACTACGTGCTGGCTTTAACGCGTAGAGTGAAAGCCCTGTAAATCGACCCATCAATAAACATACTGAAGTAAGTCACTTCGAACGAGAGTAAAGTGATACATGCAGCAAGTGAAAAACGTCAACTAAATAATAATAATATAATAATAATAGTAATAATAATAATGTCAGATGTACACCGTAACGGCGCTTCGCTGCCGTGCGACAACCACCAGTCACACGTGTGCTGAGTATACCGCGAGGACGCCCACCAACACGCGGATTCGAACCCGCGCCGCAACCTTACGAGACAAGTACATTACCTCTAGGCTACGAGCCGACAAAACGTCAACTAGCTATTCAATAGAGCCGATCATGAATTTGAAAGAACACAGAAAGTAATTCGCACATGTAGTGCTGATATTTGTAAGATCGTGGATGAAACGTACCAACATAGTCTCTCTTGCATCCTCTACGTTTTGAAGTATATTCGCAATTTCGGAGAACGCTGTCCGAATCGTTACTTCATCCTCTGTCTCAGAAATCTCCGCAACACCGGTTTTGTTCCAATCCCCGGAGGAAGAGCCACAAGAGACCTCATCATCCGTAGGTATGCGCTGACTACTGCTCAAGGAGCAATAGGATAAAGATGCGGCAAAATCACGCATCGATTGGTGGAGCTCTAGATTTTGAAACAGACACAGGAAAATAACGATAAGTGAAACGGTACAGCTGAAGGATGTGTTGGAAAGTTGGTCTCTTAAAAGGAACGCTTACAGCAACACGCGCTAGGGCGAAAATTTGTTGTTAAACGGTAACATGAACCCCTTCAACAAATTGTAAGGATCCGAAAACAAGCGACCATAGGTGAACAATTGTTTTCGATGATTCATCTTCAGACCAGTACAACCATATTTATGGGTAAAAGAGATTACACAGTTCGTTTGCGAGTCAGTGTGGGAGGTTAAAAGTTGATCTTCGACCTAATAAGTCGATTGCGTAGTTCCCAGCTTGATCTATGAAGACTGGTTGCAACCAGTTTCAGTGAGAGACAGTCAACACACATATGTGGTAGAGCACTGGACAGTCGTCTCGTCCCATGGGATGCGAGGTGCTCATTAGAGTCACCGAGTAGTGAGTGAGTGACGACAGCTTGCCATCATCGCAGATTACTGGTGTGCAGTGGTTTCCCCGCTGGAGTTAAATGCGAAGAATCGCATCGTCGACGCCACCACCACCTTTATTATTATTAGTAGAATTATTATTAGCATAAGTAATAGTGTTATCGCTATCATCATCAAGAACACAGCGAATGTAGCTCAACACTATTAGTGCGCGCAGTTCCCCATCATCGGGAACAATGGCAGCACATGAGATATTTGTACAAATGCTTCGCTGCCTGCATAATGAAGACTAATAAGTGGGACAGAAGGGGGACTTATCAGAAAACCTTAATGGTTTAAGTAAACATTCAAGGTCAAGCCACCTACACCTTGTCAACAGCATGTCGTCACAAATAGCTGGCGAACGTGTAAAGAAAAGGAGGCATCGGCGAGACAACTTCCTTGCGGCTTTCACTGTCCCGCGCCATAACCAGTCATTAACCCACCGATAACTCCGTCCTAAACACACTTTAAAAAGGAAGTTCGACTACGAGACGACAGCAGACGCGCCGTTGGTGCCGACTGCAAGCCATGTCCTGTAACGTCTCAAGCCAAGCACAAGGCGGGTTAAGTGGACTCCAGCCTGGAAGACGAGACGGATTGACGGCATCGAGTCGGGTCGTTAGTGATATCATTTCCGGCTGCCAAATCAACTTTTGTCCACCTCGAGGCTTAAGCCACCCTACATCTGGCAGATAAAAAAGCCTCTCCAAGGTAACTGGTGACAGAGCTTACGTAGTACGTGCCTAAGCCAATGCAATTTATTCGGAGGTCCGTAGTTGTAAGCAGCTGGCTTGTGTATCACTGTCTAGCACTCGCCTATGCCCATCATCGTTGCGGACACGCTGATGTCACCCGACAACGGCAAAGCTTCGCGGACAGCGATGATCAAAGGCTTGAAGACGCATCGGATCTTCAGACTGAAGTGGCCAAATCTCACTTTCAAAGAGTAGGACGGTCTTCATTACAGCCTTGTAAACACAGCCTTACAGACAAAGAGAACCCCCTTTCTGTCGATAAAGATGTCGCAAATGCAAGAAAACAGTTCTGGCTTTTACAATATGTGAACTGACTTCAGTTGCCATGCACCCATCCTTGATAATGCAGCTGTCAAGGTAAGTAAATCAAACAACTAGTTCGGGTTAACTGTTATCCAGGGTTAAATGTCGTCAAGTAACGCGTGATCTTGCAACGAAGCTTGAAATTTGAAGGTGCGAAGCGCATACCAAAGAATGGGGCTACTCTGGAGGGCTTATTCGGAGTTAATTGCGCCGCCCCAACAGAGCTAAACAGCAAGATACTATCGTCCACATAATCAAGATCAACTAGCCTTTCTTCAAACAACACCAGAACGCGTGCATCATGAGATTCTGCAAGCGAAGATTGCATGATGAAGTCCAGAACGAAATTGAACAAAATGGGGAAATCGGACAACCCTGAGGAACACCACTTGTTGTCAGCAATATATCAGATAAGTCACCGTAGACCCAGACGCGGCTTGTAGTGCTCGAGTACAGAGCACCTAGAATGTTCACATATTTCATGAAAACACCTTTCCGTACAAGTATTTCGAACGGACTCTTGAAGTCGAGACGTACAGCTGTCACTCAGTGGTATGTGTGGCGCTGCTCTAGCACCTGCCGCAGTGAATACATGGTCTATATAGCCGCATCCTGGGTGGAAACCTGCTTGCTCTTCCCTAATACGGGATTCCCGTTCTGCAGTGAGGCGACGGATGAGAGTTGTGGGTAGTAATATTGTCCCGAACGGCGTTAGGCTAATAGCACTGTGGTTAGCACAGCTAATGTGACTGCTCTTCTGATATATTGGCACTATAATCGATTCACACAGGTTAGCAGAGATCGTGTCGTCCTTCTAGATTTGTTGGAACAGCGAGCTCATTGCTTCGTAGAGGACCTCACTGCCTTCCCTAAACCGAGCGAGTGCGGGGGAATCCGGACCAGCAGCTAGAATGTGCTTAAAAACCGTGATCGCGATTTGGACCGCAGTCTCCGACGGAGAATATAAACTACCGGGCCATGGCGCAACCTGCACCACCTGAGTGGGAAGGCGTTCGGAAGCAGTGGGCCAACTAAACTGACCTTGAAAATGCTCCGCCAAACTAGCCTGAGGGCGTTCCTTATTGTAAATCAGGACATCAGCGCTGTCACTGATTGTGTCTCTGAAACCTGGTTTCATGGGACAAGTGGTGCGGATCAGTTGGAAGAGCTTGCGATAACGGCTTACTGCTCCTGCTTTCTCCATTTTTTGGGCCCGACTGGTCCACCAAGCCTCCTTATCCGCGCGCAGGCTCCGCTTTAGTTCGCGCTCAATAGTCCGTCTGGTCACATTGTACGCAAAGCCAGTTGGGAGTTTTCTACTGGATTCCAACAGGTTCGCCGAATTCTCGGATATTTAGTGCGGTGACAACTGACAGTGCCGCAAGCCGTGGCTCTCGCGTCGTGTACTGTGGCCGAGATCCTATTCCACTGAAGCCCAATATAATTAGGACCGGGGAAAGTTCGGTACGTAAGGCATCCTGGTAAGCTTGCTTGATTGGGAACTGAAATAACTTCTTAGTCGCCAATTGAGGGGGGCACTTGATATGTTTCCCGATAAATTTCATGGAAAAATGACAGGGTATCAAAGCATGATCATAGTCGATGAAAGGATTCCAGAACGAGTGGCAATCAAGGATGGAACCATGCCACCTGTAACTAACGGCCACCTGATCTATTTGAGTACATGGTTGGAGAGCTACAGGAGGACGCCAAGTGGAACTTGGTCGCTCAGTAAGTCTAAAAGAGGTGCAACCAAAAACAGCCAGGTGCTCTGCGCACCGTTGTAACAAACGCTCCCCATTGTAAGTACGGTCGGAGTGCGAGTGCGAAGATTTAAACCAAGATAAAGGGATGTACAGACGAGATTTCCACTCCACACATCATGCCGGAGCACAGCGAGTACAAATGTTCCTCGAGTTCAGCGACGTACTCGATTCAGTAGATCATTCTGTCCCGTACGGCACACCTGCATGGAAATCCGCTTCTATCGAACGGAACACCCCAAGTCGAACCAAGATCGCTAGCCGAGTGCATGCTGATTTCCCGACATCAAATGGTGCTCAACAAGGCTGCTTTGATTCCCCATTTCCATTCAGCTGTATTGGAGACATTCCTATGGAGTGCGCTTATATGAAACCTTACGGTGCAAGTATCGAGGCGTTGTCTGTTGAAAAATAAGTGATATGGAAGGCGTGGAGGACATCACTTAAGTCTTGACAACGGTGACGTGGCATAGTCAATCTTTTAACACCCTACG